TTTGGTCAAATTATGACCCCGGAGATTCATACACGGCCACAATATGTATTAGGGAGAAAGTCTGGAGAGGAAAAGAATGTCAAAACTACTCAGGTGAGCGATGTGGCCCATAGACCTCTTGTTGTAATTTCATATCTACCCATCAATATGAACTCACGAAGCATTTAATAATCATAAATAAATTGACACCTTTATAACAAATACTAAATGAGAATGATTTTGTTTCGTTTTTAGCGTAGCTCATTATATTCTTTAGTCTCCTAATTCACCTGAAAGTTAAAGGAATAAAACGTATCCCGCTGTTAGTTTCAGTTCATCATAAGTTTGTTTTAAGTATTTATACATATTTATATTTTTTTTAAATTTTGAAATATTGCAATCTCTAAATATATACAAAACCCTTGAAAGCATATTTTTAGAAAACTTTCAATATATTTATTTAGATGTCTCATATTGCAACGTAAATTCAAAATTTGTCTTATACACTCTGTTAATGCAATATACTTTACCTTCAAGATTTCGTAATAATTTTACTTCCCTGATTAGGACAACATTTATCCGATTATGCTCATTCCATTTTCTTTGATAGCCATCTTACAACATTGTCTAGGCTACGGTAAGGATTATTTTATTTTAATCAAAGTTCCAACCGTGGGTTTATACCTGTTCATTTGTAAATTAATTTTCATCCTGACTGTTTTGTTTTCATTCAAAAAACAAATAGAGGAAATTCAGAACAGGGTAAAAAGTAACACTAATTTCATTTCATAGTTTTCAATATTTCTTTGAAACTCTAAAAGACCATCAAATAAATGCTTTTGTTGTATTTCCAACACAGTGTCCTTCTTTAATCTAAAATAAGCATACACCCGAAATTAAGAATTAAGAATTTCATTTTTTTTTTAAAGTCGCGATTCCGATTACTGTTCCGATTAGCATGCTTTTACATGATCTTCATTTAATGTGACGCCGTAATCTATGTAGTTATCAAGAAGTGATGACTGATTTGATCGTCTCGAAAATACATTTATATTTATTTCATATTTATTTTGATAGTGTAAAAAGGATTTCACTCAGTTATCCTTTTCAAACTTATTCATGCCAAATTTTATCATAATGATGTTAAATGTGTCCGAATTGTGAAAATATTTTTTTTCAATGTCAGACCTTTATACATAGGCAATGAAAGTCAATGGATTAGTGCAATTCACTGATTTTTTGTTTTTGCTTTTGTAGAAAACCTAGCTTTGCTTAAAACAACATGACAATCAAATCCCTATATAAAAGGGGACAGCAGATTTGACTCTGGTAATGCTGTTGATGGACTTATATCTGACTTAAGTTTTCTCGGTGGTCAGTGTGTCATTTCTGGTAACGGTCAAGGCAGTGCTACATGGTGGGTAAATCTGACCTCAGTTTTCAGTAAACATGATATAAGGATATATTACAGAACAGACAATATCGCCTGGGGTGAGAATTATTATATCAATAGTTGCATATAGTAATCTGCATTTTAATTCAGTGGAAAAGGATCTTTTTTTTAAATTACCTTGATTCCTAAAGTCTTTGAAATATTAAAGTTGAAAAATTTAACATTCTTCTGACTTTCAAATTCATAAATTTTAAATAAAAAGAAACATTCTAAAACTAATTAATTTAATTTGTGTATGTTATGAAATAAAGCAAAGTAACGATTCAGGTGTATGTGTACTGTTTGCAAATAGTATCCGAACCAAAACTAAGTCGATGCATATGCATAAGGTTCCCAATGCAATATGATGGAAAACACAATTTCATGTTTATACATATACACAGCATTGTTAAGGCTGAAATAAGGAGGCGGGGCCTAATCCATACGGGAAAAATCCACTGTGACGTTACACTATAATATGACTTTTATGCATTCCTCATAATACAGAAAATGAAATAACTTGCAACTTTAAACTGCATTAGCATAATAAACAATAATAAAACTTATCAATGCATTTAAAAAGTTTCTAGTTAAATCCCATACAGCTGGTTTTAAACAGATCACTGATCTCGATGAACTTGTCAAACATGATGTCATTTTGATAAAAATTGTGCTGTGAAAGGCAGATTGGGGAATTTTTTTCATCACTGAAAAATGCGTTTCATTATAAAACAGAATGCCATTTACAGGCTTTAAATAGCTAATAGTACCAATGCATATCCTTTGTTTAGTGCGATTAGTCATTAACTATCGAGAGAATGTATTTAGATTTTTTTTTCCTGTTTTATGTTCAGTTTAGGTATATTTCACATCGAGGTGCCATATTTCGACATGTGCCTATTTACTCAAAATTTTAACTATTAAAACGCGAATTCTATTCAAAGCAGCAGCAGCAGCACTTTTCAGAAAGTACAAAGTATACAGAAACAAATTAATGAGAGCTTGAATTTTTAATTTTAAATAGGGTTTGCCCTTGCGATATTGAAATTTGTTAATGACCTACATTCAGTACACTGTATGAAGTTTGGTCCCATCCATGAAAATTCACGTGATGAATGCATAGTACGTACAGAGTGGGTTATGCTATGCTATTTTCATAAGTATTTAAGTTTAGTGATTATAAAACGGTTGAATGAAAATCATTTTAAAACCAATACCCGTATTTGCACTTCTATTTTCCGTTTATTTTTCATAGTAAGCCTTAACAGTGCTGCGTACAATTGCAAAGATACCTGTCGAATATTTCATATTTCGACTTTTATAATCTTACTTAAAGTACCTCTTCTACACAATATTGTACTACAGGATTTATATTTACACTCAAACATATTCAGAGTTTTATATCATTTCAAATTTGATTGTGGCGTATGCTCGACACGGAATATTAAGACATGCAGTCATATTAAAACGTTCTAAAATAAATTTTGGAATTTTTGCGAGAAATTGGTATGCTGAAACTTAAATTTCCAGTTTTTCTATATATGATTATCTTACTATTTATGTTTTTTTTAAATAAAACAAATTTTAACCCCTTCTTACCAATTAAGAACGTACATTAATGAGACCCTTTATGAATTCAGAAATTGCATATCACCATTTCATATTCGTATCAGTTAAATAGGGTTTGACATTTCAGATGCTTCCAACGGCTATACATCTAGATTTATGGGATTTTATGTTTATATATCGAAAACAACCAACAGACTTGATGGTCATTTATGTTTCCATGACACAAATAACAGATCAACGATTCCGCCTGTTGTCAATATTTCATGCCCTGTATATGGGCAATATGTCATTTATTATAACGAAAGACCACAAAATTCAAAATATGCGAGTCAATTTTCACAATACGCATTCACCGAACTTTGTAAAGTGGAGGTTTTTGGTATGTACCTTTTTCGTCGCTTCTTCTTTCACCATATATATTCTGAGAAAAAGCTATCAAAATAAAAGTTAAAGTGTGTTTTCGATAAATACAAAGATAATTTACAGTGATCAATAAATTTCTCACAAAGAAAGAAAAAAAGAAAATCGTAAAAAGAACATTAAATTTGTATTAAATGCCTAGAAAAAGAAAGCACCCCTGTGAACAACTCACCTGGATTTAGCTCTACCTCTTTAATTTTTAAACATATAATATTGAACATTTAAGGATTGGACGAAAGGTACTGCTTATTTAAGTCTTCTCCATATGAGAGTCACATCTGCTTAACTGTTAAACATAGAAATATTTGTTTAAATACAAATGCCAGAGTTTAAACACTTGAGGAAATTCAAAATATTCTAAAAAAATAACGTATTATCCCTCTTTGTTGATAAGGAAAAGGGTTAATCCTAACACCAATTGATCAATATCTTTTTTTGAAAAATGACCCACCGAAAGTTTACAAACAAAGGTATAATGTGTATTTCTAAAACGCGATATGTTTTTAATCAAGATTCTTAACAGACATTTTTACACCAACGTCAAACGGGACAAAGATGAATTTGATAAAAGTGAAAAAAAATATTCAAACATTTAAGATATATAATCGGAAGCGATAACTTGACTCCTATAAATATACATCTATTTATAAACCAAGACAAATATAGTATGTGTATGAATGATTCAATGCATATTATTTGTAAAGTTTATGCAATTTCTAATATTGAATATAATCATGAAATTGTTTTAAGGATGCAGTGAAAAGGGATATTACGGTCCAAACTGTTCCAGCGAATGCTCTAGCACCTGTCTTTTTCAGTCTTGTCACATCAACCCAGGAGTTTGTAACGGATGTGAACCTGGTTACAAAGGCAACAAATGTGAATACGGTATTATACTAGTACATGTAAATTATTATAAGTGATTCGGATTTTGTAGCATGCAAAATAGAGAAATGTAACAATATTGGATTTCATTAGCCAATCATCCAATTGCATTATCCGAAAGACAATTAATTATTTGGATTTAAAAAAAAAGTTTTAAGCTTCATAAGCATATAACATATTTTTTAGCCGAAAACTTTATAACATAACTATAAAAGAGTAATTTGCAATACCTCCTTTGTTACATACGTTTTTGTCAGGCATGTTGCATGTGAATAGTATGGAAGTCAGTAGGTCTCAGATGGAAAATATTTTATCTGGTTGCCGCCAGAAAACTGCCTGGCGGACGCCCAATATTTATCTGGCTGCCACCAACTAATTATTTGGCGTCTGCCAAATAATTTTCTGGTGATGACCAGATAAGTTATCTGGCGGCCGCCATATCTTTCTAGCTTGCCGCCTCCAGATAATTATTTGGCGGCCTCAAGATAAAATATATTTTCTACCTGACACCGCTCGGCTTCCGAAGAATATGGTGTTTATACTGGATATTAATCATTTCAATCTAAAGATATTCACATATACTGATTGATATATACAATAAAAAAAAATGTTCCTTAGGAATGCGATGGAAGATATTACGGTATAAACTGCTCGAATCCTTGTGGAGATTGTCTGAAGTTTGAACAATGTCACCATGTTAACGGTTCTTGTTTGAATGGCTGCGATCTGGGATTCTATGGAGAAAAATGCGTTCAGCGTAAGTATTTTTTCCTTTGTTTTAACATTTATTTTTATTCTTTTTTGTGTGTACATGTAAGTGTTGCATAATATACAAGAAATATAATGTTTTTTTTTATTAATAAAGGTAATTTAAGTACATTAAGTATTGACCATTTATGCTCTGTTGGATACATTGTAACATGATAATTTTATTTTTCATAACACATGAATACATCTAGTGTTTGAAAAACCTTTGTTTATTTATTGAGTTAAATGTTAATTTCGATTTCGTAAATGGAGTTCATTAAATAGGGATATTCATTTACAATGATAAAGTTCAATGCCAAAAAAGATATCAATTTGCAATAAAAAGTCATTGAATAATCGAAAAAAAATTATTTTGCTAAATCTAACAAATACTATTGATTTAACTGAATTGTTTCATCATCAAGCATTCAAAATAATTGATCATAAATCTAACTTAGTATAAAACCTATAATGAACTAAAAAAAATTGTCGTTTGTACAGCGTGTCCGATAGGACTGTACGGAAGGAACTGTGAAAGGAGCTGCAGCGCAACTTGTCTTCATTCAGACAGATTTGACCAGAAATCTGGCATATGTCAAGGTGGATGTAAATCAGGCTGGAAAGGACTCCAATGTGAAAGAGGTATTGATTATTCCAGCAAATATCGTCCCTATTCTGTTTTATAACTCTCTCTTAATTGACATATGCTTTTTGCCAAAAGCAGACTTTGCCTTCTTGTGTTTTGAAGTCAATCATTACGTTATTATATTACAGTAAAACTCGGATATAACGAATCCGTAGGGACCAGTGAAACTATTTCGCTAAATCCGTTATTCGTTATATCCGCATAAAAATCCGTTAAATTTATATAGCTGGGGATTCAAGATAACTTCGCTATATCCGTCAATTCGCAATATCTGTGTTCGTACGAAACGAGTTGTACTGTATGATGAATATGTTAAAATGTCAAAGGGCTTTATGAGAGATTGTGGGATGTTCGTCGAAAATGATTTGCTACTTTATGGCTTCATGGCTTGTGACTCCAATATGTTCGGGAAGGATTGTAGTAAGCTGTGTGGAAGTTGCCGTGACGAAACTCAATGCCATCATATCACTGGAACTTGTCACCTTGGGTGTAACTCTGGTTATATTGGAGATGCATATAATGAAGGTATATCTTTTATCTTAAATTCATTGACTGATTGATTATATGTTGTTTAACGTCCCCTTTAAAAAAAATTTCACTCACATTTGGAGAAGCTACAACCTGCCGCTGGAGAACTACGAATTTTGTCCTTTACTGGGCACTTATGGGCATTGACCAGTGAGGGTTCTTTTCCCTGCCAGCATCTATTGTGAGAGGGGGCCTCGGTTTACAGGTCTCATCGGAGAGCCCGATCTCCATGTCCCTACTTTGTAGACGCTTTAACCACTGTGCCACGCAGGCGATGCTTAAACTTTATAATCTAATGATGATATTTAAAAAAAAAAAATTAACCAGAAGTTTTACAGGTATCATTTTGCATTGAAAATCCATACTACTTTCCATTAAATAAACAAAATATGTGACAAACATATTTTGAAAACATAATATCAGCTATCCAATTTATACTTTTTACAATAAACTTTAAAACACCAGCGCAAAAGTTCATCCCAACTCTTCCAAAACTTCAATTTGAAAAAAAAAATGATATTATGCCTGCAAATGATGATGTCTCTAATGATATCTTAATTTCATCTCAATAAGTCGATAGAAAATGGAGAGAACCATTTCATGCGCCATGCACTCTGCACTTAAATGAAATTTTTGGATTCTTCGGAAAATACCTTATAATAAAAAGCTATCACTGCTCAGTGGCCACACGTGCTGAGTAAAGGTCAAAATTTGATGCCCTTCATCGGTACATGGTGACGTCTCTACATGAGTGAAAAGATTCTTGAATTTGAGGTGAAACAATATATAATTAATCAATCAATCTTTTTTAATCGACATGTGAGAAATACCAAAAAATACCAAGAGATTCCTCATAATACGCAGTATGTTTGAATAATTTCTAAATTTCAGAAGAATAACAGTTTATCATTTTTTTTCTAGTCTGTGTAAATGGGACGTATGGATATGGCTGTAACAAAACATGTATTGTTTTGTGTCAGGTATTTGTGATCACGTGACTGGAGTCTGCAAGGATGGCTGTAAAAGTGGATGGATGGGTCTCGACTGCTTAGAAGGTATGAACGTAAACCGAGCTCCTTTATTTTTGACAGGTTTTCAAAGCATGTACTGTTGACAGCTTAATTAGATATGATTAAATTCAATTAGGGATGAGCCAATTCTTTTTTAATCTAAAAATACTAAAAGTTTATTCTAAGACAAAATCTGAAAAAAAACATTTGATTTTCTCTGCCTTGTCTCGATTTCATCCCTATATTTATTTCAAGTAATTTTTCTCTTCTATTTATGATCTTCTCGGCATTGCCAATAAACCCAGCTCCTCATATCACTCTTTACAGTACATTAATATCAAAATTGATGGAATGATTGTTTCATTTTTTTAATTCAATTGAGGAAATATGTATTAATTACAATTAAAAGTTTGTTAGAAAAAATATTTATAAAGTATTTAATCAATCCAATAGAAATGCTTTGAAATTGAATTCCTCAAATAGAATGGCACTTTAATTTTATATCAGGACAGAATGGCGAAACGTTCTAAAACATGGCACAGTTTCCTTATTAATCATCAAAAAAGTTTTTCTTTGATATAACATATGTCATTTTGCAACATTGTTCAAAATGACGTCTCTTTGAAAAAAACATTGTTTGAACATAATTCCTGAAGTTTTTATTTACCAAGCTTTGAATGTAACTCTCTAACAGTTCCGAAGTTTTTCCACAGTAAAATTTGTTTTCACCAAACAATAGAATTTAAAACTCTATTTAACAACATTTTTAATATGGAAGTGACCTTCATTGGAAAACCACGCATCCATTAAATTTTCATTGTCAAGTCTAACTAATATCCAATGTGTAAACTCAAACGACTTCTGATTTCTGTCTCTTTCATTTGCTGCATTACACTTATCTTGTAATGAATCGGTTTTAAAATCAGATTTGGATATTTTTTGAACACTAGATTTACTAAAGCTGCTATCGTGTTCATACAGTTCCCGTCTAATGGATTTTTGTAGAGTTTCAGTTATAACTCTATTAATGGTATTAATGTTCTCTTTTTTAATAAAACGCAACAATGATCAAATGTATTTTATGGTACAGTGAGACATTTGTTTACTGACTATAAGAAAGTTTAAAGAAGAAAAGAAATTAACAAAATAATCGACGTTTGGAATACAACATTTAATGGACAATGCTCAAACGTCTTCAGAACCTGTTTGTGCATTAGTGATGATGGTACGCCAAAAAAAAAAAAGAAAACCCACATTAATATTAACATTATTAGTCTGCGATGCAAAGCATATGTCGTAAGTTTCCATTGCAGAACAAGATATTGAGCTTGATCTGACACAATACTATCTGGAAACTCGCAATAGCAACCATTAAACATATCTTTATTGTGATTTGAAACAATTATCAAATTCTTTTATTAATAACTCTCATAACTGTTATCAAAATGAATGTTGTTATCGAGACAATAATAATATCAATGCAAACACAATATTAATAGCTATATTTTCCCATTAAATTTTTTCAGACAAAAGATATAAAGACTTTTCATGAGTGATTTAAATTAAACTATGAGTTCAAGATTGGACCAGTCAATATTTATCACTTGGGTTAGACCCATGAGAGAAAAAATAATTGATTTTAATGAATGAGTTGGACCCACACTTTACATTAAAATAACAATATTTCCATTTCCAATTGTTTTCTTTATGATAAATACTACAAAAGTGAATTAATTTCATGGTAATACCCTATGGTATATATATTTCTCTATTACTGAAAGGTCAGGTGTCAACCTGCATGTATATATCAATGGCGTATAAATATACTAAAAAAATATATGTTTTGTTTAATTGTTTACGAAGTATTTGATACGATTTATCTTTTTAACAAACAAAATAAATAATGAATAATCTTCGGCTCAAAAGCAAGTCACTAACGCAAAGCTGTCCACTATCACCGAGGCCTCGCGAGACCGAGAACTCCACTTCCGTAAAACAGGGTAAACAGCCACGTGGAGAAATTGACATTGCCACATGGATCTGCACGTACTGCATCATCTGTTACAGACATCGTCCCTCAGTCTTTACCTTTCGACTTCTTAAGCAACTCAACTTCTTCTGTTATTTTAACATCCATACAAATCGGTTTCCTGACCATGCTGACCAACTTCCGTTTCATGAACTGCAACATTGCATTCAATATGGCGGCGGAGAAGTGACATAATGCCTATATATGTTCGTGCTTAGATCTAGATCTAGGTCACACATATATAATTAAAGTTATAAAGATTACTTTGATCGTAACTTAAAATTCTTGTGTTGTTTATTTTATAGATGTTGATTTTTGACTACGGTAACTAAATAATCAATAAATTTGTTTCGTGTTTTGGGGACTATTTTTTTTATAGTAAAATTTGACGTCATGAGGCCATGTGCATTTCAAATCTACTCAATTAGACGGTATTTCGATTTATTTTAAGATGATTATTTCAACTAAAAATGGAAATATAAGGAATCACGGTCTAGTTTTGAGAGTATGCCAGAGTATCAACAATAGTGGGAAACATGGGATAATTTGCATAATGGGCGAAGCCCGTTATGCTAAAATTATCCCATGATTCCCACTATTGTTGATGCCCTGGCATACCCTCAGAAATAGACAGTGATTCCTTAGGTTCATTTGTCCCACCCTCATTTTTGACAAAGTCCACTAAACAATACAAAACAATAGCAAATACGGACGTCCAAAACATCAGAGGTGGGAACAAGTGCCATAGAGGGATGAGCATTCCATGCCGACCGATCAAAACATTCCTGTGCACCTTGTCATGATCGAGATATAATGGGAAAATCCGTCGTCAATTCAGTGTATAAGTAATGGGCTAACAATCGGTTTGAAAAGTGTCAGTTAGAATTTGACTCAATGATAAATTGTATTTGCTGACAAGGTCATTGTCGACGTTAAAACTTACAAAATGATAATTTTAAACAAGGCTGCTGATGTTCCTGTTTCATCAACTTGTTTTTAAATAATTTATCTCGTTTTAGCATACTCTACCGGATCGATTCAGTTGAGGTACATAAACTCCCTATGAAGGAGATGAAGGTACATTGCTGCATCAGTAAGGGAAGTTGACGATAGACAATTTAAAGCTACCACGTTTATCATAGAGCTTGGTTTTTTAAATTACCATTTACGTCTTTTCCAAGTAAAATATCCAAATATAAAACACATCTGTCAGACTCCGTGGTATCGTTTATTTCAAGCTCATCAGGATATATCGTATCGACTTAAGAATTTCAAATATGCTTTTGGATTAGATTACATGCAACTTGAAATGTATAATAGTTGATTTTAATGAAAAATATGAGGCATATTTCCTTTGAAAAACAGGAAGATAAAAAATATTTCTCATAATATCTGTACAAACTTTGAAGATCTAATTTCTTTTTACATATACATGTTTTTACATTATGAAATATTTTCAACCCTGTTAAATGAGATAAAAAATATATTTCTTATATTGTAAGAGGCTTGAAATTCTACAGAAAGTATGTATGTTCATGTAAAGGTTAATCAATGAATTTTGGTATTTTCTCGTTTTTGATCTGACGTTTTTTTTTAATATGACAAGTTTGCTATTATTTATATTGTTACAAAATAAAATGTCTGAATCTAAATCTAAATTTTATTTTTCAAAAAGACTTCCATAGTCATGTTAGGGTCAGTCAATTAATGTTTGTTTACTTTTTTAATTCATTTTCTTCATTTTCTTGTAAAAGCCTATACGTTTTTAATAAAAAAAAAAAAAATTTGCAAACAAGCTTGAGTTTCAAAAAAAAAAGAAGATCTTTCATCACGTTAAAGTTAGTCAACAGATATTTAACGGGTCATGACATATATATTTTATCAACTATGGCATTTGGAAATTTAGAATAACATTTTAATTTGCAAACAATTTGGAAATGTTGAAAGAGACAGAGTTTAAGAACAAGAGCGTGTTGAAGCAAATATGGATTGATTGTTTAAGATCCCTCTTGATGATTTTCACTCGAATGGAGACGTCACCGTATGCCGGTGAAGGGTTTCAAATTTTGACCTTTACTTGACAATCAGGACCATTGAGCAGTGCAGGATCTTTATTGTGCCAACGCCTGCCACTGACACGGGGCCTCGGTTTTTTAAGGTCTCACCCGAAGGACCCGCAACTTTCACATCAAAGTGCCGAGCGCACGACGATGGATCAGTTGCTACCCATTTTTATCGACTTAGGTCAGTCGTGGCCGAGATTCGAACTCACGACCTCCCGATCACGGAGCGAGCACTCTACCGACTGAGCTACCCTGAACGGTAATAAAATGAGAAACCTATGAATGAAGGGTATAATAACTTGATAAATGCTATTCTTATAAGATTTTAAGGAATTTTCTCACTTCATTACTATATAAAGTGATATGACTATTCAAATTAATTTTAGTTTAATTTAACTCCCATAGCTACCCGATATGTATTTTTATTCAAAGTGTACATGCATGATTTAATAATTAATTTAAAGTGATTTTTTAAAAAGTAATTTGGTGGCTTTTTAGTCATATATGGTTTGTATTACTATGTACCATAGTGTAAGAATAATTATTCCAGGTTTAGTGTATATCAAATTTGTGTCCGGAAAATTGAAATTATTAATCAATAAATTGAAAACAATAAAAAACTTTCAACACTAAGAATACACGTGTTTTCTGATGACAGCTGGGTGATCAAAAGCACAAACAAACGATAAAACAAACAAACAAACAAACAAACAAATATCTTATGATAAAGCTAACTGGAATAGCGTAAATTTAATTGCAAATTTGTTAAAATTGTTTTCTCTCGTGATAGTTTGGGACAACCGCGGTCATTTGTTTTATTTGGGAATACATAGGAAAAAGTCTTTTAAAGAAGAATAGCAATTTCAGCAAGCTAAAGGTTCACGTTATATGCTTTTGCATTGGCGCCGCGTAAACTTTTGCATCCATTATTAAAATAATATCTGTGAAACCCGTAGTGGTGGCAAATTGTTCAAAAGAAATCTACGCGTAGACAATGAAGAAGAACACGCAACAATTAAATATTTATCACTCCATTAAAACCTACTGGTTCTGCGTATAAAACAATGTTAATCTACTCTATTAGCGATCAATTTATAATTCTTAAAATCGAAGCAATAATTAGAATAGGTCGTCTGTTAAAAATAAATGGAAATGGAAATTCTTGTTGAAATGGAATGTTTACTGCAATCAAATAGCGAAAAAATGATTTTTTTTCAAATGACAAAATTAATGTTAAGTCAAATCGAATTATCTGAGAAAAAAATGAAATACATGTAGTGGTATTTTGACTGAGGAATGCAATTGATGCATACTGATTTAAGTGAATTTTACAAATTCTTGTGACAGGTTTACTTCTTACAAATGCGTAGTTACGGTCAAGAATTGTTCGTTAACAAATTATTTTATCTGCTATATGGTCTCGTTTAAACTGAAGTCGAAACTAGCAAGTTAAAAAATGACCATTGGGCGTAATCTGAAAGATACGAAATACAAAATGTCAGCTCAGCAAAGCTCTTACATTATTTGTTAGAGTAAAGAACAAAAAAGTCATATTTTTAAGAAATCTCAGCAAAGTCAAGGCATGTTGATTGATAGAGCTAGGAGCTGCAAGGGCCAAGCCGGCCCTACCTTAAAAATGAATATATATGAATTCTCTGTATATCACAATTAACGCTATTTTGGCATACATGTATCATAGTGATGTACACTAATCCTAGATCTAGTTTTTTTTTTTACCAAAATCAACCCCTTTTCTTCCTACAAAATTTGAACTTGCGAGCGATGCTAAATGAATATATTTTCTCCTTTACTTATTTTCATTCTCTTTGTTTATTCTTCTCTGTCTGTATGTCTGTCCCCCCCCCCCTCTCCCTCTCTATTTGCCTTCGTTATCTTAATAAATACTCTTCGATAAATGATATCGGCAACGATATGGGGAAATAGTACTTATATGTGAATGTATCTTTTGTCGTCTTATATGCAGAAAAATAAGGATTATCTCGGGACATATTAATGCCAGGGACAATTTGTTCCGATGGACGACAACATGTGCACTGAGTCCGACGACAATATGTGCAGAACGGTAATGTATATGTACATGTACCATCGAAACAATTCTTTTTTTTCAATACATTAGCATACCATACTCCAAAGCTATAGTTACTTAATCAACTCAATTGAAATAATCTTTTTCCTTTTAAATAATTAAAGATTTCCTATTCATTAATTAAATACAAGACGAAAGCGCATACTTTAAGTAATGTATATTGACATGTTTTATTGTTGAGAACATTGAATCTTTTATTTAATGTCTCCTGCGTGGCGTAGTGGTTAGAGCATCTGCTCTAAAAATAATTTTTGCGAAATAAGGAGTATATCCTTACTCCTGAATTAAATATAGTTAAGACTTCTTAAAATTTACAACATAAGACCCTGTCTACAAAGTAAGAAATAAATGTCAGTTAAGTACTTTGCATTCTGTAAGAAACACATTTCAAATGTGAAACGCTAACGTAGCTTTATTCATGAATCCATGAAAATCCGATCCATAGAAATATTCACTCTTTAAGTGTTGGCATATATGCTGTCCGAAGTCAGATATTCACACACAGCCTTAAAGCAAAACTCATATTCGTCCTGCGAGAAAATAATAAACATTTGAATAATATGTTTTTCAGAATTTTTAAATGCGTCAAATTCCTGAATATATATATGTACTAATTTAAACATTAAATATGTGCCAATTACTTTGGTAGATATCATTTCCGGTCGGCGACATTGCAGTTGTTGTACTGTGGTAAATATGTCTACCTCGTCGTCCAGCTGTAATTGTTCTATGGCGTTATACACAGCAATAAATACACCACAGCACGTTGCTCCGTCCCTAGAAAAAAATAAATCATTCAACATAATTATTCTTAACATAACATTATTCTTAAACAATATTTAAACAAACATTACTGAGCACAGATAGTTCAAAATATTTATTTCTTGAAATTTGTAATACATACTTGGAAATAAGGGTCACAGGGCCATCTGGATTTGACTTTCTATCCGAGCGAAACTGTTTTATCAAATTTGTTATTGAAGAGGTTTGTGCTGGTAGAAACTCAGATAAACTCCAATCAAGACATTCAAATACCTGTACTTCATGACATTCATCCTACAGATAATGTTGAACATATTTAGGAAATTCCTTCTCACTTTTATTTTTTTTAAAGATAAATATTGTTTTTCGGGGAATTATTTATGGGGGAAACATATGATTTTATTTTCAAAACCTTGTGATCTCAATGTTTGAGTTTCACATTCTAAAATTCCTATTTTAAATTTTTTATATTCTTTCACATTCAGGTAAATCTTCGAATCCATAATCTATATATAACACAATCCAAAACTAAAAGGGAAAATCAAAATTCCCTTTTTTTACCCAAGGTTTACAATCTAAAGTCATTTTGGTCTTAAAATCCTTATATGTGTCTCCACAAGTTCCTTTTTTGAAGATTTTTTTTTTAAGTATTTGAGGAACGTTCCTCTTTCTACACTTCAGATGCATTTGTTATGACCAGAGATTTGAGGAACGTTCCTCTTTCTACACTTCTGGTGCATTTGTTATCACCAAACATTTGAGAACGTTCCTCTCTCTCTCTCTCTCTGAACTTCAGATTCATTTGTTATGACCAGACATTTGAGGAACGTTCCTCTCTCTGAACTTCATATGCATTTGTTATGACCAGACATTTGAGGAACGTTCCTCTCTCTGAACTTCAGATGCATTTGTTATGATCAGACATTTGAGGAACGTTCCTCTCTCTGAATTTCAGATGCATTTGTTATGACCAGACATATGAGGAACATTCCTCTCTCTAAACTAAGATGAATTTATTATCACCAGACATTTGAGTAATGTTCCTCTCTTACATGTGCACATACAGCGTGTATTTTTAAATACTTTAAGAATCTTAACACATGAGACATTTGAGGAACGTTCCTCTCTCAAATTCACTTTTTCTGAAGACATCTCATGAAACATCTCATCAAACATCAGGCATTTGAGGAACGTTCCTCGCTCGAATTTAATTATTACTGTTGGCATCTCAAGGATTGTCAAATATCAGGCATTTGAGGAACGTTCCTCTCACAAATGGTTGTCTCATGAATTGTCAAACATTAGGCATTTCAGGAACGTTCCTCACTAAAATTTAACATTGTTCACACAGGATACTTACATGTATGAGAAATGTTCCTCTCTAATATTTGTATATGTTGATACCTTATTCATTTGAGGAACGTTCCTCTCACAAATGGTTTTAATACATGTGCTAATAATTTAATAAAATATTCTAAATCAATAAAACATTTTTTGAGGACTTTTTTTGGAAATATGGATTCTTATTCTTGCTTCCTTAAGATCTGACAATTAAGTGCAGGAGATGTTGTTTTCGCATTATTATTAAATTTTTTTTACAAAATAATTCTGTGGAATGTTTCTTTGCATTTAATATGTACAAACCAGATTTTAGCCTGAGATTTGTTATTCCCGAACTAGAATAATAAGTAAAGTTTTACAGAATATATAAATTTCATTACATTTTTTTTAAATATATTGAAACTATCCAAATTTTAAGGAGTAAAATTTAAAACTCTAACAAGATCTTAATTCTCTACTGTTTGAGTTCTGTTCTACAATGTAAATTGCTTCAATCTTCTGACTGCAGAGACATGTTTATCTATAACACATCAGTATCATAGCATCAGCACTGATCTTTACTGTCCATGAAGTCACAGGGGACAGATAGTTGCCAGAGCTGATCGCCTATAGCTAGTGTTCCATGAGCATATATGATTGGCAGTGATTAATAACAATTACATGTGAGCTGGGCAGGAAGACATCAAGTCTTTATCTTTAAAAGTAAGAAATGATGCAGGAATTAGGGTTACTAGACAAATCCCTATTATAGAATCAATTCTTCAGTTTTAAGAAATATAAGTACTACAATATAATACAAATTGAGATTCCAGAATGAAAATAGGTTGTGTAAATTAAAGAATACATTAATAAAACCCATGAAATATTATATGACACCTGCATCACTATGGAAAAGAGAAATAAATTTAAAAAAATTGATGACTTATATTATCATACATGTATATAAAATGTTCATTGGAGGAGTATGGAGCTTAAGACCTATATATTATTATAATTTACATTTCCAATTGTCACTTAGTTTTTAAATTAGTGTTACATGCAAGATATAAAAGAATGATTTTTCTAAACATAATTCTCAAATCAGAGTTATTACTGTAAACGTGTAACATTTGGGGTGTATTCTTTTTAGCTTTTTGGCGGAAAGAAACATCCGCTAATTTAAGTACAACACTAAATGCTTAAACATAAAACATTAAAATGCGCTAAATCATACCTACGCTAACTTATTAAAATATCAACTTCCGCCAATATAGTACAACTCTAAATATAAAACATTTAATATTTCATTAAAATAGTATGAGAAAGATAGAAAGTGTCAATTTTGCAATATTCTTAATACAGTATGGAAATGCTTTCATAATTCATGGGCAATTTAAGTTCAAAATTTAATTTAAGTTTTGCAATTTTTTTATATCGATTTTTCAAGTCTATTTAATTTTTAGATGATACATCAAAACTTGTTATTATGTACACATTGTTTCGATTATTCTAACTTTGGCTGAATCACATCTTTCATAATACGACATGCCGCTGTATTGAATGTGAGATTTTTCCTACGGAAGATGACACCCAAGAAACTTGTTGAGGCTGTTTTACTTTGACTGATGAAAAAATGCTATGAACCTTTGGAGACCAAGGAATTGGAATCGTCTCTATTATGAGGGAAAGATGTAACCGAGAAAGAAACATGGTTGACCTTCATCAAAACTTTGGTTTAATTTCGTGGTAGAAAGGAAAAATACTGTGGGTATTAACCTGTTAACCAAGACATTGTAATATGTGATCACACTGCCATTCAGCGAAAAAGTCTTTTGAGTTGATACATGAACACTGCACATTGCACATGCTTGTTCCGAATTGAAAAAATTGTTTGTTCCTGTACCTAGTTTATATTATGCTTTAAGAAAGCCTTAATTCAAAAAGTACTTTATAAAATGACAAAATGATTTTTCATACATATTTTGTAGAGTGTGTACAGAAAAAAAATGTTTCTATGAATATGTACTGCATTTCATATAAAAGAGAGAAATGTTTCCCAAATTCTTCATGTACGATAAAAACTAATATAATATCACAAAACACATGATAATGTTAGAGAGAAATGTTCCTTTAAAGATATTTTTAAGTGGGCTTTGCAATGTATCAACAGATATTCATTACAAGACAGAGGAACGTTCCTCAAATGCACGGGTTGAAGCTTCATGAGGTATAAGTAATCAACAGACACAACCATTTGTGAGAGGAAGTTCCTCAAATGCTGATTTAATATGAATAAGGTATCAACATATACAAATCTGAGAGAGGAACGTTTCTCATACATGTAAGTATCCTGTGTAACAATGTTAAATTTTAGTGAGGAACGTTCCTGAAATGCCTAATGTTTGACAATTCATGAGACAACCATTTGTGAGAGGAACGTTCCTCAAATGCCTGATATTTGACAATCCTTGAGATGCCTACAGTAATAATTAAATTCGAGCGATGAACGTTCCTCAAATGCCTGATGTTTGACCATTCATGAGATGTCTTCAGAAAAAAATGAATTTGAGAGAGGAACGTTCCTCAAATGTCTCATGTGTTAAGATTCTTAAAGTATTTAAAAATACACGCTGTATGTGCACATGTAAGAGAGGAACGTTACTCAAATGTCTGGTGATAATTCATCTTAGTTTAGAGAGAGGAATGTTCCTCAAATGTTGGTCATAACAATGCATCTGAAGTTCAGAGAGAGGAACTTCCTCAAATGTCTGGTCATAACAAATGCATCTGAAGTTAGAGAGAGGAACGTTCCTCAAATGTCTGGTCATACAAATGAATCTGAAGTTCGAGAGAGAGAGAGAGAGAGAGGAGGGAACGTTCTCAAATGTTTGGTATAAGCAAATGCACCAGAAGTGTAGAAAGAGGAACGTTCCTCAAATCTCTGGTCATAACAAATGCATCTGAAGTGTATAAAGAGGAACGTTCCTCAAATACTTATAAGAAAAATCTTCAAAAAAGGAACTTGTGGAGACACAAATAAGGATTTTAAGACCAAAATGACTTCAGATTGTAAACTGTGGGTGAAAAAAGGGAATTTTGATTTTCCCTTTTTGTTTTGGATTGTGTTACTATCATTAATCTAATGTAAATTTTTCTTTGTTTGATAAAAATTTGTAAACTTATTTTTGTTA